TTTAACATAAGTTAAACACAAAAATCACCAATCCCCCACACAGGCATATTTTCACTTAGACAATCTTCTGTAAGGCACTACCTGGACCTCCTATCCTTCTTGGCCCTATCTGCACTTTTTTCCATAGTCTTTTCACTGTCACCCCTGCATTTGGGGCAATACCATTTACCCTTGGGCTTGTAGGTGAGTCCAACACAGGAAAAATGGAACCACTCAATAGGACATTGCTCATTGTCGCAACCAATCATCTCCCCATAGGACACCTGTTCACAGAGGCAGTAAGTGGGCTCGTTGGGATCAATGGTGAACTCCACCGGCGATGCCTCTCGCTCTTGTTTGGCCTTGGAGCGCTTCTTCTTCTTGGCCGACTTGGACTTTTTCTCACGGGGCTGCTGCGGAGGCTCTTCTCCCAGGTCCTCCATGGCACCATTGGCACAAGTGTCACGGCTCTCGCTGTTGCGCTGACGTCTGGGTCGCCGCGTCGAAGAGCGCTCAGGCAGAACATTCGCGGAGGTGCTTGCGGGGTCATGCCTCACCTTCTCCACTGGTCGCTCTGTGTCTGCCGGCTCCAAGAAGCAGGGCGAGTGGGCCTCGATCTGACGCGAGCGGTTTTCCACCACCTCCATCATCTGGGTGACCACATGGATTTTCTCATCTCCCAGCTCCTGACTGCTGATGAGCGCCCGCTGCAACTGAATCTGCAGCCGCTTGCGCTGCCCACTGTCACTCTCCTTTTTGTACTTATCATAGATCTCATCCACCTCCTTGAGGACCTCTGGGGGGGGGGGGGGGGGGGGGGAGAGAGAAAGATTAAGTGAGGTGGCTTGTGCACACCACATGCATTTTACAAAGCCATTCTTTATACTACTATGGAAGCCCATTTCCATCACAAAAGAAGAAAAAAATCATGCTTTGGTAAATCTTAATTATGACACAAAACAGTTTCTCAACTAGTGGGACACGGAGTGTGCAGTCAAAGAAACAACAACAAACGTAATTCAACTCGACTTTTATTTTGAAAGACGTGCGCGAAAGCTATTGATACTTCTGTCAGACGCAGTTTAAATAAAGAGTGCCTGAGAAAAACGCGTTGTCCTGATTCAGTATCCACGGTCAGATGAGATGCTGTCAGGCTATATGTCAGTGTCATTATTCTAACGTTATTTTCGAAAGTCTCTCACCTCAGAAATGTGAACTTTCCGGTGTATCACTTTATTATAAATAAAGCTCAATAAAAATTTCACGCATACAACGTCGTAGTTATGTCAATTAGTAAGTCATTAAATACCAAAAAGTATCAATAAATTACATAACTGGTACTTTGTGTGTTAGCTGGGAAGGATTTGCATGTAGGTATGATGTTCATTCCATTCATTTCGCGAACAGGTCATGTTAGTATTGTGTATTTATTTGTGTTTGTTCATGGTAACTGTTGTTTCCATAATCCCAAAGTGCCACTTTTTTTCACTTAGTGTTATTTTGTCTATTTTTAAATGACTGTGGTGCCTCATACCAACTTACTAACTTTATTGAATTAACAAAAACTATTTTGGGACTGCTATTTAATATCCTTACCTTATACTGTATATGCATAAGTTTTAGTCATATTCTTAAAATTATGTGTGTGTTAAGTAAAATGGGACGGTACTTTGTATGTGTAATTTTGTATTTATATAAATCATTATAATTATAATACACACACACACACACATATATATATATGAATTAGTTCAAGTTCGTAAGAAAATTTGGGTCGTGGCTTAATGACCATGGGAAAATGTGGGTCCCATGGCCAAACCAGTTGAGAACCACTGCCATAAAAAGTCATAATTATGACCAAAAGTCGATATTAAGGCATATTAAGTCGATCATGACATACTAAGTAATAATTATAAGATTAAAAAGTCAAAATATGACAAAAAAATAATTATGAGAAATTGACAAACATACTATTTTTAATAAAAATCTCTAAATGATGACCAAGACAGTTTGTCATTACTTAGACTTTTATGACTTCCTACGTCATAGTATGTCCGAATTTAGACTTTTTATGTCATAACTATGAATTACAAAAGCATGTTTATTTTTCTTATGTGGCGGAAATGGGCTTCCACATAATACAGTCGATTGTTTGGTATTCGCGATGCATGTATGCCAGGGTTGTTCTAGTGCTTAATCTACCGCTGTGGAACAAAAACATTCAACCAGTCTACCTGCCCAAGCACACAGTACGTGCACCTCGGTTTTATCAAAATATGAGGAACTACACGGTGCTTTGCAACGTGAATGAATCGTTTCCCGTTGCATATAAATAATTTTGCTCGGTAACATTCATTTGCAAACTGTAAAGTAAAAACTCGAAGGATTTACAAGGCGTCGGCATCGAGCTGTAGATGTTTCGGCAACATGCGAACAAAACACACGCCGCTGAAGCACCATTACGTCGATACTATGGCAACTAAAGCGATGCGTTAAGAAGGAGCACTGCCAAACAACAGTACAGAGTATGCACTAGTCAAAATGGCTGATCATTGGTGGTAGGATAGTGTTGCTGGAACAAACATAGTTGAATGTGCTAAAGACAAAATACAACTAACGTTAAAACACAACGGGCGTGGACAGCATTGGAAGCACCGATAAAATGTTTATTAAAATGTATTTGTTACTGTGAAGAAATTAAACGAAGCCGGTCTACACAGGGTGAAGTGCACACGATGTAACGTTAAAATGTGCATAAATATACATCATACCGCACTGGCACCTTTCACAAATGTTTCGGTTACCTTGATACTTGGTGTCGATCTCTCGTAACAATGAAACATTCCTCTGTATATCCAAAGGCAGCGATTCGACACATTCCAAATAATCCTCCACGTAGTTGACAAGCTGCGATTTTTCCACGTTTGGATAATGCCCTAACATGATGATAGTAATGCATCAAGCAGCTATGCGCCTTTTCGAGAAGAACCGCGTCTTAAAAATAGGTGCTTTTCACATATAGGTTCCTTTAAAAATGTATTAGTTGGCAACCTCGTAGAGAGCTACTCTTTCCGGACAAATTCAGTCCAGTCTTCTCTGGCTACAAGAACTCCTTCAAACAAAACTATCAGATGTGCGCATGCGCACGATCAACCCATAAAATGCCGCGGTTTGCATTTTCAGACGGTTTAGCCAATTAGAGGTGGCGTTGCTGAGATATGGGCGGATCCAGGATCAGCTGGGCGCGTCCAGACCAGAGTTCTAATGGAACACTGGAGGTTCGATTTCATTAAGAGCGAGATGGATCCATGCGAGCACAGCGTTATGCTACGGTTAGCAAATATATTGTTTATAATGCGATGATGTAATGACAAAAAACATCAGTTGTAGTAGTAGAGTCATAAATGAATTGGGGCTAGGGGCGAAAATGCTATTGATGATAGTGACAAAAATGCCCCGAAATTCAAATTGTGGAGACTACGATTTAAAATATTTTTGGTATCCCCTGAGTTCTGAAAAAACTGACACAGAACAACATTATAAAAACACAATATGAACACAGAACATAGCCTATAAATAAATATAAAATGTATTTATAATATGTAAACTAAAGAGTTGTAAATTAATAGTAGACGCCACAGTACAATAAGAAAATGAAAAATAAAAACCAGAAGGACAGTCAATAAGGCAATTTAAATAGTTAAACAGCTAAAATGTCCCTGTAATGAATTCCTCTTTTTAAACTTGTATCATTTGTTTATATTTTCTAACATTTTATTGTTGGCCTAGTTATACAATAGTATAGTATAGTATAAGTATAAATAGTATAATTTGATAAATTACACATTTTCAAATAAAATATGAGTTGATGCTGATGTAATTTGGTAACCCAATTATAATTTATTTACAATAATAATATTTAGAATACATTCAATTAATTAAATTAACGTATTATGTTATTAATTACACAAAGGAATTTTAATATGGTAAGAATAAAATGCTCATAAAAATTCCCTTGAAAATCAGCTCTAGCGGACAAGCATTGTCATTTTATAGAAGTCAAATAACTGACTGGAATAGGTTTATATATATATATATGAAAACAATCAGTTTTCATGTCAATAATAATTGTCAATTACCCTCATTTCAAGAAGTTGAGACTCGAGATTGACCGTGTAAAACATTGCGCAAGCTGAGAATGAGCCCCGTTCTGTAGATGTACGTGTGTACTACACTTGCGTAACTATTTCATTGACAAACGGGGATTGCAAGCTCTACGCTCCGTCACTAAGAACATCTTAGCTGTGATAGGCTGCGCAAACCGCCGCTCTGCGAATTATGCAGGACATCTCTGCCCAGTGTCCGGGGACTTTCCCCTAAGCAATGATGGCGAAACCAGGTTCCCCGCAAGTAGCTTAGAATACAAGTTTTCAGGCATGCGCATTTCTACCTATAACGATACAAGACATATATAGAGCGGAATTCAGCGAAGCGTTTGCATGACGGTGACACGGTGGCTTTATTGCTTTAAATTCATTTCAATAGATTGTTTTACAGAAGAGTGTGATATACCACTAAAAAGATATACTGCGAAGCACGTATATTGCGATACATTGAATTACCTGGTCCTAAAGTGAGGACTGAGACGTCATGTAAATGAACCATATACGTCACGTCGAAACGTCATGCGAGTCAGAGCCATGCGAGTGTCTCTCTCAATGGCTCTGGGTGAGCCTAAACAAGTTGTTGGTTTTTTACTTTACGATAATATCTTAATACTCAAAATATATAATACTTTCATTAAAAAAAGGAAAATTTTAAGTTTTTAAAAAAAAAAGATTTTTTACACACATTAATCAGACACGTTTTCCACAGCCTATAACAATATTTTTTTAAGCTACCTTTTCACTACTAAAACATTGATGGAGGACAAACAAGAGGAAAAAATTTTTTATATTATTTGTGATCTTCATAGGCCTATGTTTCATACGATTTCTTTGCGCAATGTGGGCAGACATGAAATTTGATCCGTAGTAGGAGTGCAAGCATTAGCCTATAATTTACTAAATCTGAGATGTTTACGCCCCTGAGTTATGCAAGTGTAAAACAGAAACCTTAATTCACGCGAAGGAACACCAGTCGTGTAGCACGTTTGTTATTTTAAAGTTCTTTTTTAAAACCTGACGTCACACGAGAGGTAAGTAGCCTAGCTGTAGTAGACTCTACTTGTGACTGTACATCAGCATAAGCATAAGTTAACATGTAATTTAACGATGTAGATTTTGTTTTTGGCGATTACCAACGACGAGGCCTATGGTATTGTTTAGGATATTTGAACATTTTAATTAATTAAGACCATTAAGGCGAGACTGTGTGGTAGGCTACACTCTTCTGACACTAAAGGCAAAAACTGTTTTTTCATGCATCTGTCAATTTTGAGATGTTGGGCTATTTGGCTAAGTGTTGTTTTAAACTAGTGGAGAGAAAACATCCAAAATACACTTTTAATTGTTACCTTTATTGCACGTTATCTATTTGCGTATGTAGATTTCAATTACAATACAACTTCTCCTGCTCTGAGAGTCAGAAATCTCCACTTTAGCAGAACTTACATATACCAAACTTTACAGTTTTATTCCTATCCATATTCTGAAGGTTTATACAGAGGGGTTTTCTCACATAGCTATATAATACGCCTGATTTTATACTTTTTTTTTTCTGGCTGTTGAGTTGACAGTATTTTCAGATTTATGGAGTGATAAAAACAGAAATCCAAAATCCCCTAATTTGTCAACAAAATAAAACAAAAATGTTAAACCTGGCTTATATATATAGGCTATATGAACATTTGTGTGTATTTAATTGGATAATGGTGAACTATTGTATAATTTGACTTGGCTTTTTCTGGTTTTCTTTTTGTTTTGCTTTGCCACAGGGAAAAGAAGAAATGAAAAGCTTCTACATTTTACCACTTCTAGCATTCTTGCTCAATTGCCATGTGCACAGGTCACGCTCAGGTTTGGCATATGCTTCAAATCCAGTTCCCCCAGCAGTGTACAGTGATTCCCATCGGGCCGTATGTAGAATGCGTCCTAACACTGGACTAGCACCTGGCATGCCTCGTGTGTATGGTCACATTCTTTTCATACAGTCTGGCCCAAAGGACAAGCTGAGCGTGACTTTCAGGCTGTATGGTCTCCCTGTCTCCAGTCAGCAGCCCAGAGCGTTGCACATTCACGAGTACGGAGACTTAAGCAAGGGCTGCGGATCTACAGGTGGGCATTACAATCCCCTCAGCGTGAACCATCCACAACATCCAGGGGACTTTGGGAACTTTGTGCCTGTTAATGGGAAGATTCGTCACTCCCAGGACTCCAATGCAACACTCTTTGGGACTCTCTCAATACTTGGCCGGTCTGTTGTCATTCATGAGGGGCAGGATGATTTGGGCAGAGGTGGCAATGTGGCAAGCTTGCTGAATGGCAATGCTGGAGGGCGACTGGCATGCTGTGTTATTGGACTGGGCAACCCTCAAATTTAAAAGAAAATAATATACAATTATTTTTTGAAGTATTTATCAATACAATATCTGATACACTTTGAAAATGGAATTGTAAAATTGCATTTATTGGTCAAAATGTCTGGTTCCTATTATATCTTCAACACTAAATAACCATTAAACTGAATTAATTGCCTTTTTAGATGTCTTCATTCTTTAAACTTGATCTATGTTAAGTATTTTTTTACGCTTAATTTGGTGACATAACTAACGCAACAAAAGGAAAGAATAGATCCAAAATAATAATACAAAAAAGAAGAATAACAATAATAAAAATGAATAATACATTTTCAAAATTAATTAAAGAAAGACAGAATTAAAGAACTATAGGTGTATTGAAGTCTAACTAACATCACTAATTCCAAAACAAGCACAAAAGCCTCTTAAATGGAAAGAAAACAGCATATATATATATATATATATATTTTTTTTTTCTGTGGTGCTTCTAATGCCGTCCAATGCTTAGATATAGGCCTACTGATAAAGCTAAAATTTTGACCATCAACATTTCTTTTTGACCAACAACATTTATGAATATGTTTACCTAAAATAATAAATAAATTACGAACAGAACAAATGTTATTTTCCAAAGGTTTGTCATGAATATACATTTAAAACATAAAAACACATTTATATAACAAAAAAGCAGCTCCAAAAAGAACAATTCAATGCAAATAGTCAAAGAAAATATGAGAAATACTCTCAGCATTCAAATTACAAAACATACATGTCAAATCAATATCTTTTTTTTTTATTTATAACCTGCTTTTTAAGCCATGAAGTGTAGCTGTTTAATGTTAACCCTGACGTCGTTTCGCTGCTACACAGCGCCATCTAGTCAACAGAGTGACACTATTCTTCTACATCTTCAAGAAGAATGGAGGAACTTGCTAATAAGCTCATAGCGGATGGCGTTCAGAAAAAAGTAATCTCTCCCGGAAAAGAAGAGCTTTCAACGTTTCCAAATGGAACAAAGGTAATGTAACGTTCAGGGCACATTTTACAATTATGAAATGTCGAGACGGAGAACAAATGTATTATTTTTAACGTGTCGAACTCTAGACAGCGAGCTAGCTAGATTCATCAGTTTCGACGTGTATTATGGGCTTGAATTCGCCCGAAAATAGCCCAGAAGTCGTGCAGTTGGTTATGTTAAGTATATATCGAATTAGTACTGTGAAAATGTTATTGTTTTATGAGCTGTTTTTACAAGGAGGCCCAATGTATTCAGATTTAGCCTTTAGCTAAACATCAGGATGGATACCTAACGTGACCTGATGTTACAGACCATCAAGGAGGACTCGCAGACAATATGCGTGTCTTTCTGTTTGCATTTTTGGCACTGAGAGGGGAAAAAATGTTCCTCCCTTCAGAATGGCATCTGAAAGCTATACGTACCCCTTAACAGCAGCGTTTTAACTGCAATATCATGTAACGTTAGCCACTGGCTACATTATATAAAATATCAATCATACTTAACCTGTAAAGCCTGACATATGAAATAATAGTCAGAAAAATAAAATGGAATCAATTGTTTGAAATGGAAAGAAAGAAAGAAAGAAAGAAAGAAAGAAAGAAAGAAAGAAAGGAAAAAAAGGTTTGCATATGTGGGCAATAGTAAGTGAAAAATAAAATGTAAACACCAGAAATGTCTATGTTTTTGCACTGAGAGCTTGTTGGGCTGAACATTTCGAAATATTTAATCAAACAAATGTTTATCTCTCGAAAGGTCAAGTTTCATTACCGCACTAGTCTTTGTGATGGCACTGTGTTGGATGACTCCAGGACAATGGGAGGTCAGAGTAAACCTATGGAGCTCATACTGGGGAAGAAGTTCAAGCTTCCTGTGTGGGAGCAAGTGGTTACCACAATGAGAGAGGGTGAAATTGCTGATTTCACCTGTGATGTAAAGGTTAGTGACCTGTTAATTATTTTCTGCCTTATAGTAATATGTAAATATCTATGATGACTAACTACGTTTTATTCTTTAAAACATTTATTCTTTTGAAATTCTTCGGCTCAGTTCTGATTTGTTTTTGTTTCCACTGTAATAGCACACAGCTCTCTACCCCATGGTTTCTCTGTCACTACGCAACATCAGCCAAGGAAAAGACCCACTGGAAGGACAGAGACACTGCTGTGGAGTAGCTCAGGTTCATTCGCATCATTCCATAGGTCACCACGATCTGGATAAGTTGCAGGCCCATCCTCAGCCTCTAGTTTTTACTCTGGAAATGCTACAGGTGAGAAACAGTAGCATGATATCCTTTTTAGAGGTGTTAACTGAGCTATCATAATAAAACTGCCTAATTTAACAACAAAAATACTTGAATTACAGCTGTATCATGATTCTCTGTGTAATCATCTTCCCAAGGTCTTGCCCCCCGGCTCCTTTCAGTTGGAAATATGGGCAATGACAGATGAGGAGAAACTGGAGGCCATACCGCAGATCCACGAAGAGGGAAATGCGCTATTCAAGAGTGGAGATATTACAGCAGCTGCTGAGAAGTACTACAATGCTATAGCCTCTCTGAAGAGCTTACAGATGAAGGTTAGTCTTAATAGTTGCTAAGCATTGAAGTCTCATGAAACCCCTGTTTTATTACTGGTCGTTCACACCTCAGATTTGAAAAAGATTAAGGAAATGGGCGTGCAGAGCTGTGGAAAAGTGGGAGTGTAAAGGGTGGGAAGAAGGGAGAAAACAACCAACAAAACACAGACCTACAACACACTCATTAAACAGACCAATGAATATTAAAATATGAGCGGAGAAAGAAAAGCACAACAGAGTTGGGGATGCCTTGATCTATTTTAAAAAAATATGAAGCTATGACAACAAACTCAATATCATTCCTAACAACTATCATGAACAAATCAAATATGTTTTGATAAATGATTCTTAGCAATATCAACAAATCAGCATTATAACTTTGCAGAGCTATTGGTCTATATGAAAAAAGAGGTAAAACATTAAAAAGATCTAATAATATTTTCATTACATATATGAGCACTACAATATTTAAATAATGACACACATCAGTTTAATACAGAAAGGTATAGTTAATTTTTGTCCATTCCTCTTTGACTTTTCAGCTTTAAGTTTTTTCAGTGTATAAGAATTAGTTCATGATCAGAAGTACCACTGTATCAGTGTCCGTATTTGCACATATATATACAGTAGTCAACATTTTAAGTGGATCAGAACCTTTCATCAAAGTTATACATGAATTTTGAACAATACCCGTTCTTGTTTTAGGACAACTTAGATTAACCTTTTTGATCCACTTCAAATGTTGACTACTGTATTAAAGAGACATTATAAAATATATGCACAGCAACTTGAAACACACTTGCTCTGGTCCGGATATGAACTGTGATCCGCGTTGCGAGTGTTGTTACATGTTAAATATCGTTAGTGTTGGAAGTCAAACTCCAGCTCTGACCACATTGTGGGAAAAATGCAAACAACACTTAGGTTGCTGTACCGAGAAAACAAACCCTTGTGTCCGAATTTGAACAGGCTACATGAATGAACAGCTCTGAAACTCTTTTGTAACATTTGAATTTACCGCTCTAATGCGATCTCATGCATAATACAGTGCAGTGATTGGATGAAGAGTTCATACTCATGAATAAACTCAGAGAAAAACTATGAAAGTGATGACGTAGATGCATACTCTACAGCCAATCCCCACTCCCAATTAATGCATATACCTCACTTATGACGTTGGTTCAACTTTGCTTTCTAAACCAGAACAAAATGGCTCCAAAAAGTTTGAAACAACAATCACTTTTCCCTTAATAATAATTTAAGCATGTGTGCTATTGTTGTTTTCAGTGAAGTGCAACTGTACATATGTTAACATCTCAAATGTTGTAGGGTTTCATGACCCTTTAAAACGTACACATTACCCTTGTTGAAGAACAAATGCATCCTTCATTGCATGCAAGATATCAGGGGTGGTTTTTGCACAGAATGAAGCCGTTTGAAACCAACACTTCTAAACATTGAACGTTTAATGGTATTTGATCACAAATTGTTATTCTCAAACTGATTAAGCAAAATAATCTGATATTGGCCCGCTGCTTATTTATCCTAAAACCTTTTTGTCATTTGACATTTCTGTTATCCCGCATTTGGTGTTGGTTGCTAGATTTCAAGAGATTTAAGTCCCTCAATTAGAGCTTTTCTCTTAAGTTGATACATTTTCCTCTCAGTATTATTTTTCTTTATTGAACATGCTTTCTCTGCACTGCAATAAAGCGCTGATGATCTGAAAACACCTTCATGAGCATCACTTGTGACTAAATCGGCAAGAAAACCTTCTCAGTGACGAACCAAACATGAATCTCATAAGTTGTTTGCGATTGTGATTGCTAAATATATGCACTTGCACAACCTCTGTGCTACAATACAAAGTCTTTGTTTGTTGTTGTTTTAATAGAAAAACATTAATATAATTTTGAATTATTTCACTGTTTTAGCTTTTGAGAGAAGCCTCTTAACATTTAAAAATATATATAACGAAGAAAGTGTTAATGTATATGATAAATATAATAAAAGGGGTAAAATATACCTTGTGTAGTTGACATTCTCTTGATTTGTGCTTTCTCAAACAAGATTTAATAATCGTGATTATCATTTTTGAGCCAAATAATTATGAGTTTAACCATTATCGTGTAGCACCAGCCAACAGTGTATTATATTCCTTAAATGGATAGTTCTCCCAAAAATGAAAATTCCATTATTTACTCACCCTCATGTCGTTCTAAACCTGCAAGATTTTCGTTCATTTTCTAAACACAAATGAAGATCTTTTTGAATAAATCTGAGAGCTTTCTGTCCCTTTGTTGACAGCTACACAACTACTTTGATGCTTTAAAAAGTTCATAAAGAGATTGTAAAACTAATCCATATTAATTGAGCAGTTTAGTCCACATTTTCTGAAGGGACACGATCGCTTTACATGATGAACTGATTGAATTTAGGCTTATATTCACATGTTCATCAACTCACACATCAGTTGTGGTAAAGGGAAGTTCAAGCATGTTCGCTTGACGTGCAAGAACCAATGAGGTTTGTTCTCGCATGTCAAGCAGGTTCGGTTGAGCTTCTGTTTAAGTTCTCTGATCAATGTGTATATGTGAATAAAATCTTAAATTAAAAGTTTTACTATCCCTTTATGAACTTTTTCAAATGAACACTTCTTTTGTGCAAAAGTGGTAGTTGTGTATCTGTCTATGGAGGGACAAAAAGCTCTCAGATTTAATCAAAGATCTTCATTTGTGTTCTGAAGATGAACGAGTCTTACGAGTTTGGAACGACATGAGGGGGAGGGTAATTAATGACAGATTTTTCATTTTTGGCCGAATTATCCCTTTAAGATTCAACTTTCACTTAAAACATATATTCCCTGTTCAAAGGAGCGTCCGGGTGATGAGCAATGGATCAAACTAGATCTCATGATCACCCCTCTCCTCCTCAACTACTGCCAGTGCAAGCTTCTGCTGGGCCAATACTATGAGGTTTTGGACCACTGCTCTTCTATCATCAACAAGTACGAGGGTAAATATCAAAACAAGTACAATCACATGTACTTTGTATTTACAGCTAGGCATCTCAAAGAAGCACTTTTCCCCCCCACTTTTAGGGAAGTGTAATTTCTTGGTCCTAAATCTTTGAGGGAATGAAAAGCTGCACTAATATTATGTTATTTACAAACAAGCTACAGTTAACTTGAGTACCATGAGAACTGTTTTATTGCATTTCAGATGCCCATACTCAGTCTTATCTTTCTCACAGATAATGTGAAGGCATATTTCAAACGAGGGAAAGCTCATGCAGCGGTATGGAATGAAGAAGAGGCAAGAGCTGACTTTGCCAAAGTGATTACATTGGAACCATCACTTGAAACTTCAGTTGCAAAGGAGTTGAGAGCAATGGAGGAACGCATTCGGGAAAAACAGAAGGAGGAGAAGGGACGCTACAAAAACCTGTTCAACTACAGCGACAAAGCCTCTGCTGCAGCTACCACGGTTAGTTTCATCTCAAATGCGGCCTATGAAAAGTGTATAATATTGTTAAACAGCAAAAAAAAAACTGCTCCATTAAGTAACCTATGTTGTTTTCCTCTTTTCAGGGCTGAAAAAGATGAATGTCCAATTTTCCATTTATAAGGAGATATGCACTGTTCAATTCGAGCATATGCACTCTGATAAATGTATACCTCACAAGTTTATTTAACCCATCACCCCCTTATTGTTCATCATGTTTTATTGGTAAATTGACATACAAATGAAGAGTGCATCCAGTGCATAGCTTTAAATGGTCTGGCCATCCATTTATCCCTGAGAGTTACCCATCATTTGTTGAAGAATGCTCATTTTCATTGTTATCAATGGGATCTGCAACTCCTGTGAACCAGGAATGGGTAAAAACCAGCCTTGTATATTCACTTTTTGGATATAGCTGATGGAAACTTCACAACCCAGTGCATTATGGTCAGTGCTCTTTAACAAAGGCAGTCTGAAAGAAACAAAGCTGAAAGACAATCGAATGATGATAAAATGGGATTGCTATGACTATATACCCCCTCCCCCTCCCTTCTTTTGTATTTATCATGTTTATTGGTTGTATTGCTATTACCCTTATTGTCTTTTTATGTATAATACATTTTAATCTTGAAAGATAAAGGAAATAAGAAATGTCAGGCATTAGAAGGCCTGTGAAATATATTAGTGAAAGACACATTGTTAATGTTAACACTGTGATAGCACATGTAAAAGAATATACTTCCCCCATCAGTGAAACAGAACACGTATACTCGTTCACATTTTTGTGTAGTCAATAATTGTCGCAGTTAAACCTATATATGTCACTACAAATAAAAAGATATTTTCAAAGTGCTTTTTAAATACATATTGCTGCAGCTAGTCTGCATTTATGTTGTGACTGAAGCCAAATAAAATTATTTACTCAATTTTTTAAACAAGGACTTCTTGCATGCAGTGGAATTAAAAATCTGGCAAATTGATTTAGTTTTTTTTTTTATTTAAATACAGAATTGCAAAAATTGGGCTTAAAAAAATGCTATGCTAATTGCAGTGACACTACATGATGTGTACATCTGGGAGATAACTATGCATAATGGACAAATGTCGATAAGAAAGATAGAAAGAGATGGTGTTGTAAATAGCTTGGCAAAGAGGAGCATGTCTGTGAGAAACGGAACAATGAGGAGACAAGTACCGGAGGGAGGGAAGGAGGGAGTGTGTGTGTTATGTGCGAGCACTTCGCTCTGTCTCCGCTAGACACTCTCTGACAAGAGCACGTGCGTGGATGATACCTAAAGAAAGACAAACACATATCAGCCATTTCAAAGGTAAATGTTTTGAAGCATGACAGACCATTTGGTAATGAACCAAGCAGCAGATTGTATGCATAGTAATTTTATCCTTGAAATAATTTTTATTTTATTAAATATACAAAATAACTACATGTCAGACACTAGATGGCAACTTTTATATGTAATGCAACTTCAATAATTAATCTGAACAAAAGAAACGTTGCAAGTCTGATCCCATGTGAAGAACTGAAAAACCGAGTGAACTATCATGACTGCCCTTAGGCTTACATTCCTCCAGGGGGCTAAACGTCACTGACTGTTACCAATGTGCTGCATGCCCTTTATTCAGAAGGGTGTGGTGTACCTCTCTTCAGTCTCTCCATGGCACTTTTGCTGCCAGCGTAGGTAGGACGAATTTCACGACTCATCTCCTCAATGACGGAGAGCAGCTCACTATACGTAGATCCCTGGGACACTTTAACTGGCTACAGAAAACAAGACAAGGCTCGACATTAAAGCTTGTCCGGGAAAAGTGGAGTGGGGGGATGGGATGAATATAAAAAGATAATTTTACTTGCCAGACTGGAGAAGTAGCCTGATTAAAACGTCAATAACAAAAAAAATAACTTGGGAATCACCAAAACGCTAGAATGATTCTGATTTTATTTAAAGGGACAATGTGCACTTTATGTATTTTATTATTTTAAATCAATATTTTTATTCATAAATATGTCCTCAATGGTGTACAAATACCTCTGCCAATTATCTGACTTATCCTCGTAAACGAAGAATTTATTATCTTTATATACATGGGACGGGTAGGTCCACGGAGGCTTACATGTAGTTCCGCCATCTTGAAAAACTATATAAGCAGAGAGGGACAAAAAGTACTAAGCCAACGCGTTTCCACAGCGCGTTTTCGTTCAGAGCCAGTGTGACGTAACTGAAAGCAGCAGAACCGGAGGAGCAGAGCAGTGAGAGGCGCTTGTCACTGCCCCGGCAAGTTTAAAAGGCTGCATTGCAAATCCTCGTCGCCAGAAAAGTCCAAAATAGATTGTAAAAGAAAACGTGACCGGAGATTACAAAAAACACAAGTTAATGTCGGGATAGCTTTTTACCAGGTGGATAGAGCTAATGCAGGGGAAAGATTTTAAAAGAGACGCTGAAGTCCTGCTTTCTTCTCGACAGGTAAGTCAATGTTACAGTCTTAATTACAAGCTTTTTTTCATTGTTTGGTTGTGTACTTTATTTTATAGACAGATGAGCATTTATAGTTAAAAGTTGATGATGATATCTAACAATGCACGTACTTCAGAAAATATAACGAATAAAGAAGGCATAACTACTCATTACAATAGTTCATGTTTTTCAGTCAGTAATTCATACTGTAACATTCGTTTGTTCGTTGTGTCAAGATGCTGTTTGTTTCAAATAACAAACCTGTTCACCTGAAGGAACACTCGATGAAGTGCTACTAGAAGACATCCTGTCATAGCTTTTTGGTACATAATGGCTACCGTAGCTGCAACGCGCATTTGAAAAACCGAGGCGCTGGAGAGCACAATTCGCTTGAATGCAAAATACATTTTCATCGCTAGATGGGAGAAATGCCTACACAATGTCCCTTTAATTTAGTGGTGATTGATGGTAGATAATAATAATGTACTGACTTAAACACGGTTGCACTGTTGAGGCTCCTGCAGCTTCTCGAAAAAAAGAAAAAAAAAGCAGCGCACACACAAAGAAACTTAAAGGGATAGTTCTTCCAAAAATGAAAATGGTCAATTTACTCACCCTCATGTTGTTCCGAAACCTGAATGAATTTATTTTATGTGGAACATAAAAGAAGATATTTTGAAGAATGTTTGTAACCAAACAGTTGTGGGGCACCATTGGCTTCTATAGTATTTTTTTCCTCCATACTATGGAAGTCAATGGGGCCCCACAACTGTTTGCTTGTTACCAATGTGCTGCATGTTTGGTTACAAACAGTCTTCAAAATATCTTCCTTTGTGTTCAACAGAACAAATAAACTCATACAGGTTTGGAACAACTTGAGGGTGAGTAAATGATGACAGAATTGACCTTTTTTGGGTTAATTATCCCTTTAACATACTGTGGTAAAAATTCTAAATGTTGAGTTTTTATATTTATAACATATGATATAGTTAAGCAACATCACACAATCAAGAGTGCAGTTTTCCTGAATACCATCACGATTGAAAATGTGAGACTAATTTCATAGGACAGTTCAATAAACAAATAGCCTAGTTAAAATTAAGGTACTTACATTTTACACACAATATTGTCTGTTTTTGTTCTGTTTCAGCAGCAAAAATATTTCCAAACAAAGATCACAGCAGAACCATTGCGCATCTAACAGTAACACTCAACCGTGTTTTGACTACTGATCCAGCGTTTTGAACAAATCAGTGGAGTCAAAGATTCAATGACCCATTCTTGAACGAATCAGCCGTTTGAACCAATCGTCAATGACTCACTCATTAAAACGGTCACCTGCCGCCACCTACTGGCTGTTTAGTTCATTTCTTATTTGTATATTAAAAATATTTTTTAAACAATCTCATAACATTATTTAATGCAGTTGTAATTTTTCAATGTCAATTATTTAATTTGATTGGTAACAGTCCTATAGTGTCTTATTATTTTAATTGAATTTATTGATCAAATTTAAGATTCTATAATAAGATTAGGGGGGGAAATGCCCTCAGGGTAAATATCACAAATATGCAGATTTAAATATGTCAAAGCTGATGGAACACTGAGATTATTGCTTTAGAATAAATTATATTTACAACACAAAAATCCTTTTTTTTCCAGAAAGCAATGTTTTACCCTGCAAGATAGTTGTGCAGAAGTCTGAGCGATACTAAACTAAAACTTTACTAAAAGGTACATACCTTAAAAGTTTGGAATTAGTAAGACTTTTTAATGTTTTTGAAAGTATCTTATGCTCACTGTTTATTTTTATTATCAATACTAAAAGTTTTTGCTGCTTAATATTTTTGTGGAAACCATGATACACTACCAATGTTTGGAGTAAGATAAAAAGAGAGAAAATAATAATTTTATTTAACAAGGATGCATTAAATTGCTCAAAAGTGACAAAAATCTATAAATGTTACAAAAGTTTTTTTTTTTTTTTTTTTTTATGAAACCTGTTAAAACTTTTTTTTAGCACCGTTTACACAAAAAATATCAAGCAGCAAGCTGTTTAACGTTAATAATAAGAATCATTATTAATACGTAATTGAGCACCAATAATAATTTATACTGATTTGGTGCTCAATTCTCATCATTTGATTGCGTGATACTGAAGACTGGATTAATGGCTGTTGAAAATTCAGGAATAAAGTACATTTAAATATATTACAATAGAAATTATCTTTTAAATTGTAATAACATTTCACAATATTGTTTATACTGCATTTTCCCTCAAATAAATGCAGTTTTGGTGACCTTTAAAAAAAAATGATTCCCAACTTTTGCCCAGTACTGTTCATGTATAAGTGTGAGTGTGTGTATGTATATATATTCCAATTAAAACAGACAAAATCCACTGGGAATCATTTCAAGATTGCAAAAAAGTAAAATCCCACTGTTATCATAAACTTAACTTACTTGTATAAAGCCCATTGATGGTGGACCAAAGTCACTAAATGCTGGTCTAAAGTTAGAAGAGGAGGCCAGAGATGGAGATGAGCCACATGATCCTAAAACCAGAGAGCAATAGGAAGACCAATCACAAACCATGAAAATGTCAAAAGGCCAATTTCAACCAATGACATCTCGCCACCCAGTGCGAGTATGAAAGGAAGTGGGGAAAGATACAGCCAAGATCGGATGTACTGATGTGATGGCATGACACACTCACACATACGGGTAAGACAACACTTTTAAGCATAAACCCGGTAAGGTGCGGTGAGCAGCACAGTATTTCACATTTATGTAATGAGCAAGACAGATGGCTATGGCTCCTTTAACTCCTCCCCCTTTATCCGTGCCTCTGACCTCTTTTACAGTAGGTTCACTGACCCATTTCCCCGGGATTAAAAACGGTGCATTTGAAAACGTGATAGACACATTACCACAGATGCGAGTAAACTGTATGTAAAAAAAAAAAATCATGAATGAAGAGCGAGCACAATGAAACTCACCTGGTGGAGTGTGGTTGGAGCCGGTGGGTGCGGGGGCGATCGGCTTGTAACTCATATTTACACCGCCGTCGACTGTAGCCTCGCTTGATGAAAAGTTTCTTCTTATCTTCTGAATGTAATCTCGATGGGCTTTGGTATCTGAAGCAGGGACGATACTGACCTAATGTAAAACAACAAAGAGCAGATATACAGATAAGTATAAGAGGTGGGAGACATGGTAAAGGCTAGCGGACAGAAAAGACGGTCCCTTCTTAACTTAACCGGCTTCAAGCCCTGACTATTTAAATCGCCTGCCATTGACTTTTCCACTATTTACTGCTAGGGTAGAACAACGACCACTTTAAAATAAGTGGTTACATTTATGTGTAAGAAAGAGTGGAGGATGTCTGTAACGTTAGTGGTATATGAAAGGTAAATTTAACTATACCCACCTCTTCCGCGAAATCGCTCGACAGCGACACGCGCTAAGTATCCAACAAGCCGACAAATGAAACAAACAACAACCGTAAACACTTCGCGATATGTTGGACAGTTAAAGATGGTTTCTGGTCGCCGGTTTACACTTGTTCGGGGAGGTAAGTGGTGAATATAACGCACGGGAATAGTTTCGCTACGCGGAGGTGTCGGTTCTTCTCCTCTCTTCCTGCGCGTGCTAGCCTGCTATGTTATTTTCCCATGATACTCGGCAAAAAGAGTGACTGCGTCATCAAGCACGCGCCTTTGCCCTCTCTTTCTTCCACAATGAAGAGTCCATTCTGGAATTTTCTTGTTGAGGTGTTTGGAGAGAGTGTGCTACAGTAAACCGGGGAAGCGTTTAAAAAATGCCTGACCCGTTGTATGATAATTTTTTGTTGTTGTTATTTTAGACTAAAATGTAGCCTAATAGAATAGTGTTGAGGCTGAGACCTGACTACCTAATACTAACTCCACTCCACCTAATCCTACACCTACCCATACTGGGGTTAATAATCTGGCAGGGGGTCCGAATGTGGCACAACACCTATGCAAGTACCTACTGCATGCAATGTACAATAGGCTACTCTGCATTAAACAACGCAATGTGCCATGTACATTTAAAAAGTTAGTTGAAATATGGTTATTTTAAGGAGATTTATTGAGTGACAGCTGTTTGAAAGAAACTGTTCTTATTGATGGATGTTTTAGCTGTTAATGATCTCCAGCTTCTGTCTGAGGGGAGTTGCTGTTATGTGCTGAGTTAGATGGATGGTCATCTTTTTATGTGTATTGGTGTGTTAGATTATGTGCTGGGGATATCTGTACCCATGATCTTTAAAGCTTTAGTGACAATGTGTTAAAGTCTTTTCTTTGTCGTACTAAATAGACAATGCCTGAATGATGTTTTAAAACTGCTGACTGGTTTCCGAATTTCCTTAGTTGTCTGACTAAGAGTTTTTTTGATGAGGTGGTCTGTATTGACTTGTCTTCAAATATACCTAGGAATTTGCAGTCTGTTATGGTGACTGATTTGATGGACGTTGATGCATTGGGAGTTTGGTCTGCAGGTAAAGCAGTTGAGAACCACTAATACCTACTTCATAAGTGCCAGATTGCAGAAGTCTCTGTCATGCATTTAAGCACCTCCCCTAGTCACATATAGATAGAAAGCACTTACATGCTGAAATCAGATATGCTTCTAAATGATTAATGGTATGCATACTGTAGAGTCCATTATTTTCTGTAATATGGAAGTTTATTACTGGTTGCCAGATAAATTGTTGAAACTTATGTTATGCATCATCTAGTTTAATATGTAGGGAAATAGAGGACACAAATACAGCTTGAGTTTATCTTAATCTAAAGTAATGACCAATGTCACTGAAGCTTGTCTATAACACAAGACACAGAAGCCATTCATTCAAAGAATTGCTGTGTCATTGCCACATATTCCACTTTACCCACGTTTTCATTGCTGAGATCATCTGTGCATTTTCAAACTTGCTCTATGCAGATAAAGCACAATTATGCTGATATGACATTTAACTTAGGCCTATATAAGTTAATAGCCAGCAAGGAAAAACAGGAAGAGGTGTGATAAAAAAAAACTAAAATGGCAATAATTAGCACATTTTAAAATCATCTTAAGGGAAGGACAAACACAAACAAACAGTAGTGGTATGATCTAATGGTTGGCTACTTTTAGTTGTTTTATTGAATTTGTGAGGCCTCCTCCAATGGGACAGTCTAAAGCACAACTGCATCAGAGCTGCTGATTCTGGAGTCAGTCTTTCGTGCTGCAGTTCACTGTGAGGGACAGGGGAGCGTTTGGATTTCGTCTCCGCACACAGCCATGGTCATGGATCTTACAAACGATAAATTTTCTTCCATCCGGAAGTGTCTTTTGGTAACACTACTATTCATTTGTTCATTTCAACTGGTTCGATCAAAGCGAATAATCAAATGTCCTTCAGGATGCACTTGCACGACAGATTCAGTCATTTGTGTCGGTTCTTCTCTCATCCCCCGGACTATACCGAGTGACATCAACTCTCTGTAAGTGCAATATTATGTTCTCGTAACAATTTTTTTTTTAGCGAAAATGCTTATAATTATACAGTATCAAACATAAAGATGGTGCGACATCCAATACAATACTATTTGTGTTTTCGATACTGAACGCGCACGTAGTGAAAAATAAATAAATAAATAAATGAAAGTGCAATATTTATTCATTTCTTATTATTATTTTTTAGGAGTATTGTTAATTGCAGTTTCCCAGACATCAAGGAGGCTATGTTTTCGCTCATGCCCTCACTGCAGTTAATGTAAGTGACTGCTGCATCACTTTATTAAATTTACCTGTTTATCTGCATTAGAAAACACTATGTATTCTGTTGGAAAATGTAGGTAATTTCTGTAGGCTACTATGGGGCGGGTATTAATTGTGATAGTTTATGCATCATGGCTATTTCCTGGTATCTTTTTTTCTCTCTCTTCTCAGTCTCCTTAGTTCTAATTCATTTTCTGAAATAAAGGAGGATGCATTCTCAGGGCTTCCTCATCTTGAGTATTTGTAAGTATTTGAACAGCTTTTCTGCAGTTACATTTATGATAAAAAGTGATCACTTCTTTACATTTATATATTACTGACTAACTAAGATCCACATATTTGTTGGATATCTTGATCATTATCCGTGCAGAGTGATTGACTGAAATTCTTGGCAATGTATATTTTGTCTCATTTTATTTCTCCAACCAGATTCATTGAGGGCAACAAAATTGAAGAGATAAACCAATATGCCTTCAGAGGACTTCGGGATGTTACACACCTGTGAGTATATAACATGCAGCAAGGAAAGGCTAAGACATTGCAGAACATTAATTTAGATTACATAGATTTATGGTTGGCATCATATAATATGTAATTAAGTAGGTCATATATTTTTTGTTTAATATTTTATTTTCACTACATAATGTGATACAGAATGCAGTGCACATGCATAATGCATTTTCCTAATCTAGTTGTATAATAAACCTGGCATTGTGTACTAGGATTGTTGGCTCTTTGGTGAATGCTTTGTTCCTCTTTTGTAAGTCACTTTGGATAAAAGTGTCTGATAAATGCATAAATGTAAATTATACACTGCTGACTGCTATTGTCTTGAGTATTATTAATTATAAGGTACATTGGTGCTTAAAAATCCTGATTTATCTTACATACATAAGTATAAACTATAAATAAAGTTTTTTGCTTGTGTGTATTGATTCATTTCCTCTCTGTTTTTACAGATCATTAGCAAACAACAATATAAAAACATTGCCCAGAGGTCTTTTTTCTGATCTGCGCTCTTTGATTGAACTGTGAGTTCTTCAGTTCACTGTTAGCAAATGTGCACATGTAATCAACCACTTTTGCCAAGCAGATAACTTATTAATTATTTCATGTCTAATAAACAGAGACCTGCGAGGGAACATGTTCCAGTGCGACTGTGAGTCCATGTGGCTGATGCTGTGGTTGAAGCGATCCAATGCCACAATCTCAGATGTTTACTGTGCCAGTCCATCTGCCATGAAGGGTGTCCCGTTAAAGGATGTACCAGAAAAACACAGCAAGTGTGTCTCCACAGGTAACTCAATTTCTGTTGCTCCGATATCTCAGATTTCTTTTTTGTTGAATTTTTAATAAATGCTGTGAAAAGGAAGTTGCGATATTCTTTTCTTCCTTATTGTGAAACGAACTTTGTTTCTCGAACAAGAAAAAATTTAGGGCAGGACTTGATCATGTCCATCAGGAATTGATTTGATTGTTGGACTGTTGTGGTTTGCCATTGCTGTGATGTCATGTGAGTGACAGGTGTCCCGCCCTCTCGCCAGAAAACATGTCATCAGAGAAGAGAAGAGTCTCTGCAAAGAGGAAGGGGAATTTATTTTGATTAAAGATTACGAAGGCAGATGGATTTTTTTATTTTTTTTATTATGATGTGCACAGATAAATCATTCATAATAAATGCTGCAATACTACTTAAGAAACAAGAATTGTCCATTTTAATTTCATGGCGATTTGTTCACACTTGTTTAATGACAATGAATGAATGTGCTACACTATGTCTGTTTCTTTTCCCTTCAGATTTTGTTCAGCATCAGATAGTGAATACTCAATCCATGTCAGCAGACATCTTCTTTCACAAAGATGATATATATGTTGCTATGGCAGTTCCAAATTCAGACAGCTGCATAATCATGGAATGGGATCACATTGAGACAAATTTCAGGCCTTTTGATGAAATCACAGGTTTGACACTGTTAACTCCATAATCATTTGTCATATGTCATAACTTTGAAAGAGTTTAAGTTTATTTTATTTTTTTAATATATTATATTTCAGGACGGTCTGTTGTTGGGTGCATGTCTGTTCTGATCAACGAGCAGGCACTTGTCATTGTCTCCCAGCTCTTCGATGGCTCCCTTGTCTACAAATATGACCAAGCACAGAATAAGTTCACCAAGTTTCAAGCTGTTGAAATGCTTAATGTGTCCAAGCCAAATGACATTGAAGTCTTCCAGATTGGAGATGACTGGTTCTTCCTTATGGTGGACAGTTCCAAAGCTGGAATGACAACTCTGTTTAAATGGAACGAAACTGGTTTCTACCCATATCAGTTCCTTCATGAGTGGTTTCGTGATACCGATGCAGAGTTTTTTTATTTAGATGGCAAATCTGTTCTCATACTAGTGAGCCGCTCCCAGGTTCCTGTTATCTACCAATGGAACAAGAGCACCCAAAAGTTTGTTCTACATGATGAGATAGCAAATATGGACGACATTGTCAGCGTGAAGGCCTTTAGGATTAAGGACGTTCTCTACCTTGCCCTCGCCTGCTATATCGGTGACTCAAAAGTCATGAAGTGGACCGGCAAACACTTTGAAGAAGTACAGGGCTTCCCTTCACGTGGCGCCATGGTATTACAGCCCATCAAGTTCAAAGACCAGCACTATTTGATTCTGAGCAGTGATTATTCTTTCTCCCAGATCTTCAGATGGGATGAGGAGAACCAGAGTTTTATCAAGTTCAGGGATGTGTATGTTCAATGGCCACGCTCATTCACAGCACTGTCAACAGACCAGCGTGATTTTGTGCTGGCCACCAGTTTCAAAGGCAAAACCAAGGTTTTTGAACATATTTCAGTGGATTATAGCAAATGATGCATGTGCTGTTATTTGTTCCATCTGGTCAGATGCTAAAACCAAACTCAATTCCTCAATATATGCATACATTTAACCTTGATATTTATGAATGTAATGTTTTGTCAACAAAAAGGCTGAAACCTGGTGCACATCTCTATTCTCTAGTCTTGCGAAAGCTATTTATGCAACATTTTTGTATTAAAGTTTGAATAAATAATGCACTGCACTGCAGCTTTATTCAGATGTTGAAAATACCTGAATGTTTGATCATATCAGATCTCTTTTAAATAATTTCATTGTGAAATATTAGGTTCACCAAAGGTAGGGACTCAGACTTCAATTCAAAAGACTGTGGACTTAAGCTTGTCAGCTTCAAGCTAATTTAACCTAATGAGCTGGTTTGACTGTATGCAAGCATGTTTTTGGTGCTGACTAGTGCTATTATTCAGTAGAAACCCTCAATGTTATTGCCTTTGACGAATGAAAGCCTTAATTTATTTATTTATTTTACAGAATCTTTTTTGCCAGTTTTATAATGTAGCTGGCAGAGCAATATACTGAATGTAGATTTGAAAATATATTAATGATAATAAATAAAACAGCATCTTCTATTGATCTGCTCATTTATTCTTGTTGGTTCTCATTCACATGTATGCATTTTCAGTTTCTCACAAAGAAGCCAACTGCATAAATGGTTTAGCAGCTTGTCATGAATGCATCACTGTTCCATACTGTCAATATAAACACAGAACATAATAAGAAATAAGCACATTAAAATGGACATTCCAGATGACACTTTACCACTTGACAGTGAGAAACTGCTTGTGTTCACAAAGATCACTTTACCAGCCAGTCAGCAGCATCATTCTTTGTGACCGGGCACTTAGATGTGATAAATAAGACTGCATCAGCAGAATGTCACAGATTTAAGCACATAAGTTACATAATGTAAGTTAGAGGCCTAGGCCTATATCTACAGTGTATGATATTGTCTGCTGTGCATTATGTGCTCATAATATATATATATATATATATATATATAGAGAGAGAGAGAGAGAGAGAGACTAGTTTAACCTTAATATAAGTGTTAATCTTAAAGGGATAGTTCACCCAAAAATGAAAATACTGTCATTAGCCTAATTACTCACCTTCATGTCATTCCAAACATGTAAGACTTGTGTTCATCTTCGGAAAACAAATGAAGATCTTTTTGATGAAATCTGAGAGCTTTCTGTCTCTCCATTGACGGCTATGCAACTACCACTTGCTTCAAAAAGTTAATAAAGAGATTGTAAAACCAATCCTTATGAATCGAGCGGTTTAGTCAAATCTTTTAAAGAGACTCGATCGCTTTATGGACAGATTTAATTTAGGGTTTCATTCACATATTTAAACATTGATCAGCAAATATACAACAGAAGCTCAACCGAACCTGCTTGACACGCAAGAACAAACCTCATTGGTTCTTCAGGGATCCCAAACATGCTGTTACACACAAATATGCTTGAGCTTCCGTTTACCACAACTGATGTGTGAGTTGATGAATGTTTGTATCGTGTCTCTTCAAAAGATTCTGACTAAACCACTCAATTCAAATGGATTAGTTTTACAATCTCTTTATCAACTTTTTGAAGCGAAGTAGTTGTGTAGGCTGTCAACGGAGGGACAGAAAGGATCAGATTTCATCAAAAAGATCTTGTGTTCCGAAGATGAACGAAAGTCTTACGGGTTTTGAACGAAGAGGGTGAGTATAGCCTAATTAATGATGGAATTTCGGGTGAACTTTTGGATAAACTATCCATTTTAACGTGTTTGGTTTGGAACGACGAGGGAGGATGATAGAATTTTAATTTAAATTTTTCAACTATCCCTTTAAGAGCAGACTTATCAAATTTGGTCATCGCAAAACAATACAATAGAAAGAAGAAATTAATATGGCTTATAGATAATTATAATCACAAGTTACAACATTTGAAATTCGTTATGTAAAAACAAGTTGCTGCAAAACAAATGCATTCGCAACGATATAGTTTATTTAAGGCCATAGAAGCATGGTCACATAACTTAACGTAAAAATCTACATTACCCATGGTATATTCTTTGGCTTTTGCAGCAGTCACTTCACCATAGACTGCATTTCACGTGAATCGCGTCCTTAAAGGGACACGCTGCCATAGTTGGCCATCCCAGCCGGAAATGATGTCCATGATATTGATGAAACATGTAATCGTGTCATCCTCGTCGCAATAGATGCTTTGGACGTGACAGTTGTTATTATTTACAGATTTTTTCAGAAGAATATCTCTGACCGAAAATGAATCCTTCCAGAAGAAGCGAAAGTGATTGGCAGGGACTGGTGAATGAGGTAGGAAACGCAGACATATTGATGCCTCACGCTCCTCTGCACTCTATCATTATCAGCATTGTAACGTTACTGTACAGAGGATGCTTAAATTAACCATATAATATGGTTTTCAATTAATTCACTGACTTGACGTGTGTAAAATTGGATGGCGTGATTTTCTAAATACGATCTGCTGATGTAGGCTAGCTACAGAGACAAGCCCCTTTACTGTAGCCTACCCGTGTTTTCATATCGAATAGTAAGTAGTATATTTCTCATTACATCTTTAAATGTCTTGCATAATAATAAATCAAATACGTAAGGTCTGACACGACATGATCAGCGGAGGGATTAACTTAAATCTTTATCCTCTTTCCTCTTCTCGTCAAGTGCAATGTTGCACTATTACAGGGTGATATAAAATCTCCCCAGGCTACACAAATCATCATACACGCACAACATTTAGGAGAGGTTGCTTTCTAATTGTGTGAACGTATATTGGCTAGTATGATAGTGAATAGCCTAATTTCAAAGGATTGGTTGACCGCTTCGTAAGTTGTTTTAATTTAAAGGTAGGACTTAATTAGTCCTTTATAACAGTGGATCTAAACAGTGGGTCAGGGCCATTAATGGCCCTTCAACCATTAATTCAACCAGTAACTGTTTGATACTTTAAAAAGTAACATTAAAGCATCTAACTATGTTAAAATGTTATTAAAGAACATCCAGTTCCCAAAACATCTGGAATCAAAGCTCAGGTTATTTAGTTGAAAAACAGTGCAAAACCCCACTTTGATCATTGTCTTTTCTGGCAATGGTGACTAATGCATTGAATTGGAGCATTAAATACCCAATTGTTTTCTTTCTGTGCCTAGTTCCTGGTATGCAAGAGAAAACTGGAGAGTAAGAAGGAGGCACTGCTGATCTTATCAAAAGAACTGGACACCTGCCAGCAGGAAAGGGATCAGTTCAAATTGATGGCAAACCAGCTCCGTGAGCGCCACCAAGGGCTGAAGAAAAAGTACAGAGAGCTCATAGTATGTATTCTATTCTATTCTATTCTATTCTAAATTGATTAAACAATCATGTAGAAGTATGAAGTAGAAGACATTCAGGAAGACATTCATTTTTTTGCAATTTATATATATTGTCGTTATAATGAAGTGTATTATTTCTGTCATGACAACTCGGGTTTCTGAAAGCATGCTGCACTGCTATAGCAAATGCTGACCAAGTATTTAAAGGTTAAGCAGCAAGCTTATTGGGCTACTGATACGGCTGGAACCAATCAGCTGTGCCTTTTAGAGAATATGTTTCCATCACCCTGTTTTTATGCGCATTTAGAAGTATTGCATTATAAACGAGTGATGGAAAAGCCACATTTCGAGGGGGGAAAAATCCCTTCATTCGCAAAAAAAGTATTTACGCTCGCTTGAGGTGGTTTTTGACTTGTGCGAAAGAGTTAATACGAACAATGGGAGATGGAAACTCATTTGCTTAATAAATACTGACAAAGTGAACATTAAACCCACATGACTAATTGGTTGTTTCCGCTGATGGTATTTTATTTACCAATTTTTTGTTACCAATACCACCATCCTCTGCTTGAACAACTTGATTGAAACGCAATCATTATTTTTTTTTTATTATTATTATTTTGTGAACTTTGATCAAATTCGCTTCACGTTTGGATGGAAACCCAGCTACTGACGTGATTGCAAGCAGATTGAGTTAAGGAAACATCAGCATGCGCCATCTAGAGTTCATGACAGAACTTTGTATTTATATGCATTTTTTAACTTTTTTTTTCCCATTAATAGGATGGTGACCCCTCTCTGCCTCCTGAAAAAAGAAAGCAAGTATGATTGTTATTATCATCTATTTAAACATGTCTAAATATATATCCTCTGTTAGATGCTTTTATGCCAACTTTAATTAATTAATGAATTCTGAATGGGCATTTAAGTGTCTTTACACAGACCTTTTAATGCTGCTCAGAGGTGCATAAATGCATTTATACAGCAATTCCAGCTGTATGCTTTGATGCTAGGGGCTGAGGTAGGTCAGAGCAGGCATCATTAAGCCTGGCTTTTATGCAGCATTACATCTTTACACAGAATTTTGAGCAGGCACAGAGCAGCCTCAACTTATCTCTGTAAAGATGCCTTATGTATACAACTGAATATATGTTAACAAAACATATACTTAGTGAAGTAGTCAAACCAGCAGTATTCATTACTTTCATCTGATGTTATTCAAATAAATGGAATTTTGTTTGTATTACGTGTTAAAAAGTCAAATGTGTTGTTCGACCTGTGTTTGCCACAGGTTAATCTGGCGCAGTTACTGAGAGACTCGAGAGAACAGAACAAACAGCTGAGTGACGAGGTTAAAGAACTGAACCAACGTTTAGCAGAAGTGCAGGGTGATAACAAGGTATGGGCTTTGCACACACAGGTCAGGTCATTTCTTTGCATGACTAAATCATATGCAGATGTTTGCTAAGTCAAATGTGTAGTCGCATGCTTATGAGGCTTCAACATTTTGATCACAGTGCATATATTGTGGTTTATAGCATAGATAAATGTAGTCTTTTCATCACACAGCTGCTGAGGATGACCATTGCAAAGCAGCGTCTAGGGGACGAAGAGGTGGGGGCTCGTCACTTTCCAGCCCATGAGAGAGAAGATCTTGTTCAGCAGTTAGAGAAAGCTCGAGAACAGGTGCATTGCCTTTGGCATTCTACACGTTTTGGGTTCAAATCAATCTTAAAGTCCCCCTGTAGTCAATAACTTGTCACTTAAAACTAATCTTTGATCACCAAAATTACATATTTAAATGTTTTTTCCTTGAAAAAAAATCTTCATGCATGCCTTAAAATAGCTTGAATGTAACTCATGTGTTGCCTCATTTAGTATATATGCGGTTATATGCAAATTAGCCCCGCCTCCACTCACTCACACCAGCTCAGAGATCCACTCGCTGACGATCACACGTTGACGTGATTGGTAACAAGGTGGTTTGTGACATCGGAAACACCACCGATTTCAAACCACGATTTTGAGACTGTCTTTGGCTCACTGCAGTTTTAAAGAGAAAATACTCAGCAATGATGTTGACTTAGGAATTTGCACATGGTTTGTCTTAAAATCTGGATTTTCACCACAGGGGGACTTTTAAGTTCTCAAGAATATCTTAATGTGCCAAGTCTCAGTTTTTTATCATAGATTTGAGGTAAAAACAAAACAAAGATACACTAATATAGTTCTTTGTCCTTACCCTATGATGTTGTAGAATGAAGCACTGGAACAAAGCTTAAAAGCAGCCACAGATGAGCTTCACGATGTGAGAGCAGAGCGTAATGTCTACCAGGAGAAAGCTCACAGACTAAATCTGGAAATTAACCACATCTTGGGTAGCAATGAGAACCGCATCCTGGATATAGATGCTCTTTGTATGGAGAACAGGTCAGTGTTGGTCACATGTTCAGGATGTACACACATTTAGCATTAGTAGAAAGAGATAAACTCCCCACAAGAATTATCATACATATACAGAAATGTATTATTTAATATCCAAAATAATCCATAAACCAGTGCAATTTAGTTTTCCATGACAGTCAGTATATTTAACAGAAGTGTAGAAAACCTCAGTAACATAGTAAAGACTTAATAATGCACAATTTGCAAACATGTAGGGTATGGGCTTGTTGCATGTGGCCGCCATGTTGGATTTCTGATCTAGCGAGTGTGTGCATAGACACTTCCGGTTTCACCTGATGCCAGTGCAGAGAGCTGGAGAAAAACAGTAAATTATCTTTTATAGTGGTTTATTGAATCTGTTATGTCACTTAAAATACTACTAAGTAATTTGAAACGCACGCATGTATGAGTCAGGTGAATGACTGAAATACACTTTACTGTCCACAAAGAGAAAAATGACTTGGTCTCATGCTGCATACACATATGCCTACTGTAAATATACAAATATGTAAATATAACTAAATTTAAAATATAGTAAAACAATTTGTGTAAAAACAAGATGACATATAGACCCATCAGTTTGCTACGCATCCACACCTATCAAGAAATATTTTATTTCTTGCATCACCCTGGTTCCTTTTAGGATTTTTCCATTGGTTTTTGGACCATTGCAGAAAAGAAACTCCTTGTTCAACAAAAGTTTATGATTCTTTCATGTTTTGTTCATCATGAGAATCTTCACAAATGAACAACTTGAATTTTGAAGCCTGAATACAATTGGCAGAAGCAAAAAGCTAAACGTAGGCTATAAACAAACTACACCACGTCACTGAGCGTCTGACAATTCTTCCAGTTTTTATTTAAAAAATGTTTTCCCTGAGAGTTTGAGTTAGAATAGTATAAACATGAGACTGTGAAAGCAGACTATTGACTGATGTTTAATGTCCCTGATTGACAGACTCTGTAGTCTATTTTAACCACTTGTAAGCAACTGCATTTTTCAAGACAGTGAAAGTTTTTAAAAAATCACAAGGGTTATTACTTATTTATTTTATATGGTAAAATAAAATGTTACCTTATTTCAGGCATTTAACCAAAATCCCATTTTTAAAAAAAACCATTGACTTCAGCATCGGAAGTGCTAAAATGCTATAACTTGTTTCCAGGTTTTGGCCTACAAAAATATAGGTGTGTCCCAATTCTTGTAGTATGTGTGTACACACCTATAATTCCCCAAAAACGAGAAAAAGTGCACTCCAAATGCCTGGATAATGGACTTCTTTAACTAAAAAAAGTGCATAGTGTATAAGTGCACTACATCATTTGGAACATTACTTACTGGTATGTCATCCCTGCTGCACTCATGATCAGAATTGTGGTAAGACTGACCTCTAGTGGTCTGGTGGGGATGTTACAGGCAGTGATGTGACAGTTGTAACATGTCCAGTTGGCTTTGTCAGTGCTTAAATATTATCATTATCAATAGCGCTATTTTAGCTAATCATGTTGTGGGTAATTTAACTGTATATCATACTGAAGTCTTCAAAATATCTTCTTTTTTTAGATATCTGCATGAACGGCTTATGCAGCTTCAGGAGGAAGTCAGCCTCCTCAAAGCAAATGTCATGAAGTATAAGGTATTTATTACACATACAACCAAATTTATATAAACACAAAAGATTCACTTACTTTAATTGTAATATGTGTAAACTCATTCTGTATTCTGATGTTGAGCATATCATATACTCGTGTGTTTTATTACAGAGTGCTTTGGAAAGCAAGAAGAACTGCAAAGTCTATGGAAAGTCCAACAGCAGTGCTCTGACAGGTGTCCTCTCTGCTAAACAAGGTACCACACAGCACTTCTATAGAATCCAAACAGTAACAAATGGGTTCTTCACAAGTAGTATTCTTTGATTTATTTACAATTCTTTGAAGGAATGATACTTAGAAGCTAAGCTTCAGCTCATATGTTTCCAGTACAAGAGTTGTTGCTGTCTGAGGAGAATGGCTGCAGTCTCCCAGTCACTTCACAGTCCATTAGTGACCTGAAGTCCCTGGCCACTGCTCTGCTGGAGACCATCCATGAGAAGAACATGGTCATTCAGCATCAACGGCAAACCAACAAGTATGTTATGACACCTTATTTTCTGTGCGGAAAATATCACACAAGATCTAGTTTATTAGTATTGTGAGAAATCAGTTAAGTCAACGTTACTTTTAAGAATACTTATTATTTTATAGGAAACTGTTAAAAAGTGAAATTTGTGTATATTTTAACAGGATCCTGGGTAACCGGGTTGCAGAACTGGAAAGGAAATTGAAAACATTAGAGGTGTCTGGGTTGTGGAGCCTGCCAGGTAAACATCACGTCTAATACTATGCAGTTTACTTTAATGATCGTTTAAGTTTAGAACTTTACTTCTATGTAACATAATATAGTTTATCTTGCTTATTTTATATATTTAAATAACTTTCAATTGCTCTCCCATTTCTGCTTTCCACTCTTTCTTCTCAACTCTCTGGAGGCATCACCTACAATGTGTCTCTTGGACTAGGGAGTACGTTTATTATTTAATATCATTTTTGCCTTTTATACCTTTCTGCAATTTTCTTCAAACTAATTCTATCTACCCTTGTTGTTAACCTGACAATATAGTTATAATTTATAATAGTTCATTAGTACATTTGTTGACGCCAACGTTGTTTACAGGAAGGAAAGCTGTTATTGTCCTGAGTGACTCTCAGCATGTCCAGTCCACCACAGAACAGTCTGTACATCTAACACCAGAGTCAATGGGTGAGTTATTAGTTATTATTACTAGCCTGTGCTAAATGATTTGTTAGTAGGCTAAATTAATAAGCTAAATGTTTAGTCATTTTTAATAGTTTTTTGAATATTAGTGCTGTCAGTCGATTAAAAACGATTAACGAATTAATCACACATTTTTCCTGTAATTAATCGTACCTAAAATTAAAGTTTTTCATACTTATTTCACATTTAATCTCCAAAATTAATGTAGAAACAACATAAAGACAGTAGCCTATAATTGCGCTTGAATGGTTTAGAAGCATTTGCGTGAATAAAAGCGTTATCATATGGCGCTTTTCCACTGCTGGTACGGCTCGGTACGGTTCGACTCGGCGCGGAACGGTTCGGCTCGCTTCGCTTTTCCACTGCGTGGTACGACTCGACTCGGTACGGCACGGTTCGGTTCGCTTTAGCTCGGTTGCTTTTCCACCGCAGTTAGTACCCCTTCAAAGTGGGTGGGACTGATCGTTATTTTGTCCCTACACTGTTTGTAGGTCCGGTGATAGCTCTCGCTGGATCCGCTCCTCGGCAACCAACGAGAGGAACGTCTGCACCTCGTCCACTGACCACGATTCAGCCATTTCTTTTTAAAGTTTAAAAAACAGATGCTAACCGCGTTGGCTGTTGTCTACTGGTTATTTAAATCTAGCGGGTTTAGTGTCCAATGATGCTGGTAGTGACGATTCTGTCTGACCAATCAGTGATCTGCAGTGTTTTTACGTCACATTTTAGTACCGGTACGGTACGCTTGGAACCTCAACAGACCAGGTACCATTTAAAGCGAGCCGTACCGTACCGTACCATGCAGTGGAAAAGCACCACAAGTGAGCCGAACCGAACCGAACCGTACCGTACTATGCAGTGGAAAAGCGCCAAAGCGTGCCGTACCGAACCGAACCGTACTGTACTATGCAGTGGAAAAGCGCCAATATAATGTAACGCTAGCCAGAAAAACAGAATGATAGATGACAGAAAAACGGATGCTGCATTAATGGCATTAAATATTTTTTACGCATACGATACATTTTTTCAGTTTAACGCGTTAAATGAGGAATATTGTGACATGTACGCACAACCACAATCGAGTTCAGAAACAGTGTTTACTGATATAGAGAATAACTTCCTTTGTAGTGGACTTTGCAGACCTTTTTCATGCTCAAACTGCAACATAAAGTTAAAAGTGTAAAAAGCATAATAGGAAAATACCATTTTTAGAAAACTTCAGAATCACACAAATAAATGTTTTAAACTGTAAATTTTGGAATATATTCCAAAAATTGCAAACCTCATGTGAGTAAAACTGCTCATATAATATTTTGGTTAACTTCCGAAAACATTTTCTGAAGGTAAATCATCTCTTTTCACTGGGAAAAAAAGGGATAAATTACCTAATTTCTTAAGAGTCTATTAAAAAAATAACAACAACAACAACAAAGTGTTAAAACTTTGATCAATCTCTCTCCAGTAGGAGATGAAGAGATTGTTACTGGAGAAGAGGTCACAGAGGACACTGGACTGGCCGTGGCAGTCGAGTTGAACCAAAAGGATGATTATTTTACCTGCCCATATTCAGTCTCACAAACTCCACAATTCAGTAATCCAGCAGAAAGTGTCCAGCCTGTGGGGAGCACACAGTGTAAAACCCTTGGTTGTGGCGACTCTGAGAAGCCTGTGTGTCCTGCTGAGAGGGAATCAGAAGAACATAATGAAGATCTTACAAGTCAGTCTATGAACACAGAAGTGTCTTTGAAAGGTTCAGAAGAAGAGGCTGTGAAGAATGATGATCCTGTTGTTCTTTGTGAGGAGGACTTTGATATTCAATGTGTATTAGAGGACAGTCTGCCTGTGGCATCAGATACCTTTGGCAGTTTGGACTGTATTTCTGGACCTGAGCCTTGTACACCGGAACAGCAAACAGAGCAATCGGTCGAAAAAGAAACAGCGCATGCTTCCCTAGACACAAGTTCTCCTGTTCAAACTTCATCACACCAGGAATGAAATGAATGTTGCTCTTAGTGATATTAAGAACTATGAGAGAAGCGCCTAAAAACACCACCATTCATTGAAGCCCCACTTAAAACAAGTGTGAAAAAGACTGGCAAAAGAGTAAAAAGAACCTTTGAATGTCTAAATTAAACGCATTTATTATTCCAATTACATTCAAAGCTATATAAAAAAGTTCACCATAAGGATGGCTGGTATAACCAGCAAGCTGAATATTAAAATCAACAATGTGATAAGCCCTTTCTGGAGGCTTTCAATCATGAGATCATCAAGAATCTCGAATGAAATCTTAGATCTGATGCCGCTATGATGACACTACCAGCAAGTTTATTTTATTTTTCTAGAGGTTATTGTGAAATCATTTCAAAGACACTTCTTCTTTTATTTGGACTATTTTAAACATCTTCATAATTCATTTTAATATTCTTGTAATTTGTCTTTATGAGTAAAACACAACATGCAATTCTGATTGATTTTATTTTTTTATTTTTTCCCCCTTAATACACTGGATGTCATTTCAACCATTATGATTTGTTTCTTACAGAGTCAGTATATTTATTTAATTTAATATTTGTCTTATTTATTATAATTGATCTTAATGATTGTAAAAGTGTTTGATCTGAGAAGGTTGGTGTAAAATCATTCTCTGTAGATCACCTAATATTATACTGTAATATAGTGTAAAAATAAAATGGGAACAATCATCAGCTTGAAAGCTTAAGTTATCTTTATTTATGCACAAAAGCACTGCATTTCAACACACTAGTGATTGCTATATAATAGGCCTGTTACTAGGCTACATCAGTTTAAGTGGTTTGTGTTGATTTGACCTGTTGGGTACACCAGAACATATTTATAATGACGGAAGGATTATCTCGTTGTTTACTCAATGTCCTCGCGTCAGTGTTTTATTGAAATAATATCAATGTAACATGCGTGCTTACAAACATCAATGACATTTTGAGGGCACCGCCCCTATTTTGAAAATTGGTGCGAGCTGCCAGTTAATTAGTCACACATACTGACACAGGTCATTTGCAAATATAGGCTACTGGTCCCTCCATTGTATTAAGAGAGATAAGCAGTAATACTCTGAAATGTATAACTCAGTTTCGGCGCTTAGCCTATTTTTGCCATTCACAAAACACGTTGTGTTTATCAACAAAAGTTTTTATGAAGCAACATAAAATATTTGAAAACAATACTCACCTAAAGATTATGTCAGGCTTGGAAGTTTAAGCTTATTTAGTTTGCGGTCTGGATTCCGTTTTTGTGCAATCGCACTTTGGGTTCTGGTTCATATTAGTCTGTGTTATATTAGTGGATAATTGCAGCGCCAGCCAGGCCCTGTTTACACCTGGAATTTAGATGCGTTTTGGTCGATCGGATCACAAGAATTTGAGGTAGACGCGTGCCCGTTTACACCTGGTGTTTTAATCTGTCTCTTTTGTCCACTTTCAACCACTTCTGTCCTGATTTCTTTGAGGGGAGGGTATGGGGAAAAACGTATGGGATTTTCAGATCTTTCGATCTAATGGACAAAATAAGCTTGGGCAATTTACATATGAATGCGTCTGGAGATGATGGAAAAACATACGGAGAGCATCAGCTTTCGTTTCTGCTCTGACACCCGCAAGACCACGGCAAACACTGTGAGTGTGTTAGAAATCAGGAACGGTGAGATAACAGTGTGCTTGGTTCGTTTTTCGTCTTCAAACCAAATTTGTGTCTTAATGCCAACAATGTTTATATCCGGCCAGGTTAGCGCGCTTCCCATAATGTTTACGCATTAGGTCAGTTGGCAGAAGTGTGGCTAGAAGTGTGGAAGTTTTCGACTACCTCTGGAAGTGGTTGAAGGTGGACATGCTCAAAACGGTTTAGACTCCGTTTACACCTGTATTTAGGGTCGTCCACTTGTGATCTGATCGACCAAAACATCAGGTGTAAACAGGGCCCCAGATAGGTCGAAACGCATACCAACGAAATCTCGTACAGTGACGTGAGCACAGCATGATCAATTCTTAACGTCATCCTCCCTAGCTGTGACGATACGTTTTATGTTTACATTGGATTGAATTCTGACTGGATATTCCTATATTGTGAGTTCTCGCACAGTGATTCACTGTTCTATCTGGGGGTCGTTGCGCATGCTTGTTTATTGTGGCACCTGACCATTATTCCGGAGTTGCTCGTTTTGTACATCACGGCTACGCACTGTCGAGTTACGAGCCGTTCGGTGGTCAATTGTGCGTGTTCTTCCCACCGTAACAGCACAATACCATCACGATTTTCATCACGGCTTAACACTAAGAGTATGTAACGCCCCCTACCTGTCGTTCTTGACTAAATAGGGAACGCCCCAAATTCATCAACTATATGCCTACAGATGTTGTAGTTAGGCCCCTCTATAGTCACTACATGAATTAAGTTTATTGTAGAAAAATAGAAAAATAATCTATACTTTCATATTATGAAGTTACTCAGAATTAACTCTTGACGTCCCTTAACTGATAAAGTTAGAAAACCCCTCCTGAAAAAACCCAACACTCAGGTAAGAGTACAAGAAAAATAAATGGTTTAATGAAAATGAATGATAAATGTTAATTGGCTCAATAAATGAATTTAAACATGTAACTGGTTCACAAGATCACATTCACAGAAAAACGAAACACAGTTTAAGCCCCGAAAGGCAATCTCTCAGATACCAGTACTAATAAAACCAGTTAAATACACGTATGAAATACCTATCAAATTATAACGAACACACACTGAGCGTAAAAGTTACCTTTTAGTGTACTGAGTAAAGCTATATGCAACAATATTCACTGCAGTGGGCCCACACACACACCAGTCATTCAACTCAAACCCACCCCGTAGCAGGCCTGAAACGTGGCTTGTGATCGTGGTGGCCGGGAAACTGACAAATGGCCCCTTCACTCTCCTGAGCACAAAACAAATACAAACAAATACCTCCAATTCCACTGGAAACGATGCAGCGATCCTCCCGATCCGGAAGTAGGCCTCGTGCAGCTCCTCGTCCTACCGCAAGCGCGTCTCTCTCATGTCTCTCTCCCCAACCCCCATCTCGCGCTTGTCAAAAAAAACTCTCATCTCCCGAACAACCACTCACATCACACAAAACACCAGTGAGGGCGGGACTTAATTCACATACACCAAGAAAATAATCAAACACCTAACTTGATGGTTAAAGCCACGTTTTCCACATGTACACCTACATCAAACTTGTATCTCATGCACGCGCGCTCTTAAAGGCACAAATACACGTATAATCACAAACAAAGATGAATGGTTAATTCACATTTTCTCTCTTAATTAAACATAAATACAAGCTAATAAATTGAGGTAACTTATTAACAACATACTTATAACCTACTGGGTTACATGCTCCCCCTTCTAAACATCTCATGACCCCATGAGATTACTTCTCAACACCTTAATGGTGACTTTAGGCTCAGTAGAAGGGTTTACCTGAGTACAACGAACACATTGTGCCATAGGGTGACACCACATGGTGTTACAGGGTTTCCTTTCTGAACCTTCCCCACCCTCTACATTTATGACCATACCTCTATGAACCAGAGTTAAGGGTCAGTTAGTGGGTTGTCCCAGATTATCATAGCTCAACCTGACTACTATGTCTCTTTTTGGACGGGAATGAACAGTCTCTACGACCTCTTTGGTAGCATTAACTAATTCAGGCTCTCCCCCTTCTAAACCTCCGATCTGGAAGCTCTCCAGGGCCTTCTTCCATGATCATCGGCTCTGCCATTTCGGCAAAAGGTCTATCCACCTCCCATCCACAGTTAACCGGTTCATCCTCCACTGTAGAGTCCTCCCGTGTAACACATTCTGGCCTGTGCTGTCTCTCCACTCTATCCGAGTAGTAATAACACACATCATCATCTTCACTTTCAGAGGAGTTTCTTAATTCACACCCTGTCGGCACTACATTTCTTTCTCCTAATCCTCTTCACCGTTTTCTCTCCCTAGATCTTGTCCTGGTCTCCGCAGGAGCAACAACTCTTGTAGGTTCTCCAGCATCGGTCAACCTCACATGATCCCCAACTGGCAAGAGATGGTCTCGGTGTAATGTTCTCACACCTCCCACGCCGGATTTGGGTTTCAGACGGTATACCGGTAAGTTCTCTAACTTTTCCACCACCAGGTAAGGAACAGAATTCCACTTGTCTCCAAGTTTGTTCTTTCCATTCACGGCCAGATTTCGTATCAGCACACGATCTCCCTCTGTCAAGCTCTGGGGTTTCACTCGCTTGTCGTGCAACCGTTTGTTCCTTCGCTGACTTTTCTGGGCAGTTTCGGTGGCTAACTGATATGCTCTCTGTAAGTCTAATTTCATTCTTTCCACATACTGTCGATGGCTTCCTGCTCCCTTTCCATCAGGCGAAGTCCCGAAACACACATCCACTGGCAAACGAGCCTCTCTTCCGAACAGAAGATAGTAAGGGGAAAACCCAGTGGCTTCGTTCTTAGTACAGTTGTAAGCGTGTACTAAACTGTTAATGTGCTGACTCCATCGGTTCTTTTCGGCTGGATTCAGGGTACCAAGCATGGAAAGGAGCGTTCTGTTGAACCGTTCTGGCTGTGGGTCTCCTTGAGGATGATAGGGAGTCATTCTGGACTTTCGGATTCCCAACATGCTTAGTAGCTCTCTTGGGTAACGTCTTTCTCATTACACACCGGCCACAATCCTTGACATACTGCTCTATGTATGCAGACATTCTAGGCCAATAGAAACGGTCTTTCACAAGTTCCGTAGTTTTCTCTACTCCCAAGTGACCAGAGTCGTTGTGCAATGATTGTAACACAGTAGCCCAGTACTTCTCTGGTAAGACGAGTTGTGTCTTTTCTCTACCACAGGAACTTTTGGTAACCCTGTACAGAAGTTGACTCTTGATCTTTAACTTGTCTCCCTGCCGTTGTAACAAAGCAATGGTAGCATCAGAACTCCTAGCACCAGTAAGAATCCTTCCTGACTCCACTTCTCGCTTTACTACACCAACTACCTGGTCTTCCTCTTGAGCTTTCCTCAACTCAGTAGTACTCAACTGTTCCATTTGACTAAGCCCCAAAGCTGTGGGACAAGAGAAAGCTTCGGGAATACCCTCAGGTAACACACCCAACGGATCCACCAGTCTGTATGATGAACTTCCACTTTCAGGAACCACTGCTAACTGACAGATGGCTCTTACTCCTGACTTGGGTATCTCCTTCCATTCAGAGCAAGCAGTTGATTCACAGGGGTAGCGAGACAATACATCCGCATCGATGTTGGCACTTCCTGGTTTGTATTGCAAGCTGAAGTTATAGGTAGCTAAGGCAGCTAACCAACGATGACCCGTCGCACTCAGCTTGGCACTTGACAACACATAGGTCAGGGGATTGTTGTCGGTCTTTACCACGAACTGGGCTCCATATAGGT